GGAATGCATCAGAACGGTCCCATCCGTGCCTTTATCACTTAACCCCTTGCCTCTGTTCAGTGGGTATAACTTTTGTTTCCTGCTTACGACAAGAGGTACAGCGGGCCGAGAAGGATGCCAACTTTGTAATAGGTCCTTGTGCCGGTGCCTTCAATGGCAATTTGATCTTCAGACCTTGTCCTGCAATACCTGTCTTCTCTTTGCACCATGCACAACTTCCCCTGCTGACTCCCGCCAATCAAGATTTTGTTCATTTTGGGAGAAAATACATAAAATCTTTTTAGAGACGTTTAAAATAAATATCCCTCTAACGCCTGAAACTTATCTGCTTAACATGATACCGGATAATATAAAAAACCACAAACATATAATAATCTACGCCTTAACAGCAGCAAGAATTCTGATAGCTAAACGTTGGAAGTCGAAAGCCATACCATCCATAAAAGAACTTAAACACAAGGTTCTGGATATAGCGGAAATGGAGAAGCTGAGTTTATCACTGAACAATAAACCAGAGGATATTTTCTGTAATAGATGGAAGATAATCTATAAATGGCTAAAACACAAGAAGATAGAATAATATTGAGTCAACGCTAGTTTAAACTAATAGAATGGAAGTAACAAATGGAATATTATTTTAAATCTATGTATAAATTAAAAGATGATTTATGTATGTATTGATGTGAAATGAAAATGTGAAAATAAATAAATAAAAAAAAGATTTTGTTCCAGGCCACAAGAGTAAGCTGGATCACTTTCCCCCCCTCCTTCCTGGTCACTTGACAACCTCGAGGTTCCCCTTCCTGCTTTCTTCTTGCTCCTGCATGTCCTGGGAAACAGATAGCCAAACCAGGGGAAGGAAAAAGAATATTGATGTTTCAAAGGGAGAATCCGGGCAAAAGCAAGCCAACGCCAGGAGCTCACGGCATGAGACGCTTCCTGTTTCGTTGACGCGAGACGGTTTGAGGGCGTTCCTGCTAATTCAGCAGAATGCAAACATCCATCCTGCCGTAGACATTCCTGTTCCGGAAAGAGATACATGCTTTGCCTGAGCAGGAAACAGTGTGGGGAAGTTGGCAGAGATGTTCCAAAAACAAGATATCTCCCCCCCGCCCCCAAGTCCAAGAGCAGCTCGCTTTAAGCTGCTGTCTGCATCTGCATTTAAATTCCTCCTTTTAAATCCACGAACTTCTCCAGCACGGTGGAACCTTCTCTAGGGATGTGGTCACACGGTCATTTTGATCGGGTTTCACCGCTGTTCCCTCTCATATTTAAAATTGCTGATCAGACGGCCGCATCTGTCTCCCGCACTGAAGTGGGCTCACTAGCGCGATCCTCTCGGTTCCCTAGCAAGTTTTCCTACACCCGGAAAATCAAGTACTTTCCGGATATTTGTGCTTTCAACCTGCAATTTCGTCTATCTGGACAGCCATCTCTCGCAATGATCGTGATTAGGTCATCAGAACGTCCTTCGCACGATGTCCCCCCCCCAAGCTTCTGTCGTTGTGCGCATGAGCAATCCTGTGCTGGATAAATTCAACGTATAAACATTCAAGCGCACATATAGACTCCAGCACTCAGTTGTACGTCACCAGTTAATTTTGTTTGCTGTTGGGGGGGGGGACCTACAAGAACAAGGGCGTACGATGAGTCCCAGTGGGAGTGGTGATTTGGCCATGTGCATATGCGCATGCACAAAGTCATTTTTTTAAAAAAACAAAAAAAACAAGCCGTGCCGCCCAAGCGGTGGTGTGGCTATCTGGACGGTGCCCGGAGCCTCGTCACGCGATGCAAGTGGCTCAGGGAGGGAGGTGTGGTCATCCCAACCCGAAATAAAGTATCCCCGATAAAATCTATAGTAGAAGAAGAAGAAGAAGAGAAGAGATTTGATTTATACCCCGCCCTTCACTTGGCTTCTCAGAGCGGCTTACAAACTCCTTTCCCTTCCCCTCCCCACAACAGACACCCTGTGAGGTGGGTGGGGCTGAGAGAACTCTGACACAAATGGCTCTTTTTCAAGAACAGCTGTGCCAGAGCTTGTGACTGACCCAAGGTCACATCAGCAGCTGCATGTGGAGGAGTGGGGAATCAAACCCGGTTCTCCCAGATTAGAGTCCGCACACTTAACCACTGCACCAAACTGGTATATAGTGCCATGGAGTCCACACTCCCGAAAACTTTTCTTCCGCAGCCATTTTAGCTAGTGTTGTGGTTGTTGCATTTCTGTTGTTGATCCAGAGGAGTTAGCCGTGTTAGTCTGTAAAAAGCCCAGTAGTACCTTTAAGAGCTCCTGGAGGAGATCAGGGCCCTGCGGGACCTCTCACAGTTCCGCAGGGCCTGTAAGACGGAGCTCTTCCGCCAGGCATTCAATTAGGGGCCACCGCCGTTGGATCACCTGACTGTTGCAGCACCTGGCCCATGAGCCACCATCGAGTTGTTCCCTTAAGGAAACTACGAGCAGAAAAGCACCTTAGAACATTGGGAAATGGAAATCCATTGAAAATGTGTCGTTCAAGTGACTTTTAATTGCCGCCAGCACTTTAGACTTGTTGATTTGTAGTGTTTTTAATAATTGTGTTTTTGAGCTGTATAGATGTTGTGTTGGAAGCCGCCCTGAGCCTGCTCTGCAGGGAGGGTGGGGTACAAATTTGATAATAAATAAATAAATAAGACTAACAAACACAGCTCTCTTCGTCAGGTGCATCTGACGAAGAGAGCTGTGTTTCTCAAAAGCATATGCTACAATAAAGTTTGTTAGTCTTAAAGGTGCTACTGGGCTTTTTACTATTTCTGTTGTTATTACTGCTGTGTATTGCCTTAGATGTCTGTCAGAGAGAAAGACAGCCTACCAGTATAATATTCTGAGAAAATAAAACTCAAGGCCTAGGAGAAGGGCAGAGGGTGGAGTGGTAGCTGGGCTTGCT